AATCATGTGAAAGAATATGTTTTGACTAATACATGATGATAACAAATTTGCCGGGAAACCGCCTACTAATTCATATATTTGGTAAATTTGTTTCTCTCATGGTCTGTAAGAGATATAGGGTAGTCCCATATAGATCTTTCTGTGTATAGTGCTTGTAACTTTACGAAGAATGGGCCAAATTTCTTATCATTTTGATGATTCCAGAACCTTGCAGATGCTAGATGCTAGATGATCAACCTTTTCTGATCGATTCCACAACGTTTCTTTCACAATGCAATCGCATGACCATAACTGGTCTTTACCTTTAAGGTGAATGACTGGGTAGTGTGAGTGAAAACTCTGTAGCCCTGGGACAGGGGAGCGGAATTGGTGTTGTTTTTTTATTTGTATTAATGGTGGACTATTTCTAACGAATAGGGATTCGTTTGAGAGCTCCGACAAGGGATTTTCTTACTTTTTGGGTGCGACCAAAACTTAGGAAAGCCATACCTTTCCCTCTGTGTCATATGCTTGATTATTTTTGAAAAAAATTTATGCTGTGGGATTGGGAGCTTTTTATTTCTTTTATTTTTCCTTTGGGGTGGGAGGAGCCGTTTTGTGTTTTTCGTTGTTTGTGTATTTTTTTCAGTGTGTTGTAAAAAAAAAAATCTAGAGGTTCAATGAATGTACAAGTAAGATTTCACGTATGAAAGGTGTGTACGTGTGTAGAAACTGCACAGGTGTTGCCTATTTGTATATCATTTGTTTTTCCACTAGACTAGTACTAGTGGTGATTATTTGCATATTACTAATGCCTCGGGTTTTCTCGGGTTTCTGCTCCACTGTATAATGAACGTTTTACATGCCTTGGGCTTGAATAATTTGCATACTTTTTATGTAGTAAACAACCTTTGTAAATCTAGTTTCCTCTGTATTGTTAAGATCCAGGTGTATTGGTTAGGGTAAATATGGGGTCATGGCCCTCGATAATACATGTATATGTACATAATGTACTAGCTTGTTTTTGTAGTGTTTATTGTGGGGCATATGAGAATACCTCTTTAGTCAGTATGTAATAATAATAATAATAATAATAATAGTGGCTACTTGTATAGCACACAGGTCCACCTTTCAGTGCTTAGAGAAAAGTACATGTAACAGACATAAGAAAGAAAAAAACAATAAAACGAAAAACAAATTCGAAATTATCCTAGACAAAGTAAATAAGAATATTGCAACAACAGGTTAAGGCGTCAGTGGACGAGAAAAATAGAAAAAGTCGCTGTATAATTTCCCGAATAATATATGTGGACAAATATTTTATCTATGATGACTGATCAACAATTTAAATTATCCATTGCGTCAATGAATTACCATGGCTTAGCTACGCTTGATAAGCGTAGGTTATTTTTGCATTAGCTCAGAAATAAAAAAAATATTCAATTTACTGTCTCCAAGATGTTCACTTTTCAAAAGAAGTTGAAACTATTGTGGAAGCAGAATGGGGGTTGGAATGTTATTCTAATTCATTTATAACCAATTGAAGCGGATTGCGATTTTGTTTACTAACAATTTTACTTTTAAAGTGCATGGTTGTAAAATGGACGAATTAGGAAATAGGCTTGCTTTGGATATTGAAATTGACGATATTAGAATTACCCTTATTAATATTTATGGTCCTAATAATGACTCCCCAAGTTTTTATGATGATCTCAAGGATGTTATCAATGAAAAGCCTCTCACTATTATATGTGGTGATTGGAATTTGATTTTAGAGAACAAGTTGGACTGTGTGAATTATGTTAAGGTAAATAATCATAATCCTCGTAAAAAGTTGATTGAGGTGTGTAAAGAGTTAGATCTTGTTGATGTAAGGCGCATTCATAATACTGGTTGCCGTAGATATACATGGAGACAGCATGATACACTCAAACAGTCTAGACTTTATTTCTTTTTGATCTCATCTGAGCTGAATGCCAACTTTTTTAGCTGTGACATCAAACCAGGGTACCGCTCCGATTACTCCTTTGTTGATATTTCATTTGATTTCCCACAAATGGAGCGTGGCAAAGGTTTTTGAAAATTTAACAATGCCCTTTTAAAAGATAAAAAGTATGCGAATTAGGTGAAAGACACTATAGGGACGGTGATTGATCAATACAACTTCAGGTCACTTCAGGTCAGTACCACGTCCTCTCACACCCTAACGTTTTGCGGTTTACTATCAACGATCAATTTTTGTTTGAGATGATTTTAATGAAAATCAGGGTCACAACGATCTCATACGCCTCGTATAAAAAGCAGGAGGATAAAGTTGAACTTGACCTGGAGAAGGAGATCAGGGTCCTGACAGATTTGATCGCCAAGGGTGACAATTCTATTGCCGATTTACTCCACAAAAAAAAAAAGAGGGCGAGTTAGTCAATATCCGTAAGAACAAAATGGAAGGTGTGCTCGTGAGGTATACAACTCGTTGGATTGAGGAAGGGGAAAAGCCTTTTAAGTATTTTTGTTTATATGGAGAAGAGAAATATGGTGAATAAAACAATTGGTAGTATTGTAAAGGAAAGTGACAATGCCAGTTTAACAAGTTCAAAGAAAAATCTTGAGGAAACTCGAAATTATTATAGAAATCTGTATTCCCAAAGAGAGATAGAGGAAAATGTAGATATTAAAGCCATGAAAGAAATCAGGCACACCCACTTTGTTATAGATTTAGATGGGTTTACTTATGAATGTTATAGTTTTTCTTTTCAGATTTTACTACGGTCATTGAATCATTCATATGAATGTGGACAGTTATCTGTTACCCAAGGGTGAGTGTCATCACTCTCTTGCCTAAAGAAGATTAGCCCAGGGACTTTTTTAAATTGGAGACCCATATCGCTCTTGAAGGTTTCAAATAACTTGCCTCAGCTTGTATTGCGGAAATAATTAAATCATGTTTACCCAGTATTATTCAAGAACAACAGAACGATTTTATGTCAGGACGATTCATAGGTGAAAACATTAGATTTATGTATGATTTATTTCAAACTGCCAAGCGTGACAATATTCCAGGTTAACTTTTGTCGATTGATTTTCAGAAGGCGTATGTTTCTGTTTCCCATCATTTTCTTAACAAAGTTATTCGCAATTTCAATTTTGGTCCCCCAGTACAAAAAAAGATCAAATTATTTTATAGTCAAGCTAAAGCATTGGTATTGGTAAATGTTGTTGTTGTTGTTGTTTTGTGGTTTTTTTTTTAATTTTTTTTTTATATCAGAAGCATTTGAAGTGGGAAGAGGTTGCCGACAAGGTGATGGACTGAACCCCTACCTATTGTTGTTATGTGCTGAGGTGTTGAATATGATGGTCAGAAATAACCAACATATTAAGGGTATCAAAGTTATTAATATTGAATATTGTCTGTCACAATATGCTCACGACACAGTTATCTTTCTCGATGGTTCAGTAGATTCTATGAATGCAAACTTTAATGTCCTTGAAAGTTTTGCCAAAATATCAGGTTTAAAAGTGAATATTGAAAAAACAAAGAAGAAGAGACATTAATTCACTTGTTCTGTTTATGTCCGATAATTGTAATGTTTTGGAACAAAGTAGCTCAATGGTTGAGGGAGCTTTCAAGTATCCATATACAAATTGATGAGGAGTTGTGTTTATTTGGAGTCAGATCTTTCACATTTAGTGCTTTGAACACTATCATTTTAATTTCTCGTTTTCATATCTACAAAATGTAAATGAATATTAAAAATCCAAATTTTTATCTTCTCAAAGAAGAGGTTAAGAGGTATTTTGATCAAGAAAGGTTCACCTTAAGTTTATCATTAAAAAAAATAAGTGTGATAAATTAGATATGACATGGGCATCGTATTTGGATTATTTTATGCAATAGGCTTCACCTGTGCTTCTTTATATTCTGTATAAATTGAATATCTTTTCTGTGTAAAACTGATGTAGTGACATTGCAAATTGATATTAAACTAATAATTTATTTATTTTCCTCTGGAAAAAAAAAGAAAAAGAGAAAAAAAGTGAAAATTAATAGAACTGTGCATATATTTGGTGATGAATATAAGAATGCAATGTGAAATTATTACTACTAGAAAAAAAAATATGATGTCATCCTTAACTGAAAAGACCCTTTCTCTCTGTCTTATTGTCATCTCCCACTTTCTTCTCTTTACGATTCCCACCTCTTCCTTTTCTCCTCTTTCTCATTCTCACCTCTTCCCTTTTTTGTATTGCTGTTGTATGTTTGTGACTGTGGGTGTGTACATACACATGGTTGGTACCTGCTGTAGTAAATAGCTTTTTTCCCCCTTCTAAATATAAGTATATATACCTTTTAAGTTTTATTTCTTGCATTACAATTGAATATTATGTTTACCTAGATAGGGGCCTCATTTACCAAGCACAAAGTGATTTTTATAGGTCCTGGCCTGTTTAATATTTATTTTGTATTTATGATTTTAAATTTTCTTTTCATGCCAAAACATAGAATTGAATTGGGTTGAGTTTAAATTTGTGCATGTGAAGATTCAGTTGAGATATAAATGTGTATAAGATTTACGTTTTTTTTAAATCAATATTCAATATCGAACCCTTTTCCGAGTTAAATTAATATGAAAAATATGTCATATAGCTTTTTAAGGACCAATTAAAAAAAGCAAATGTATATTTATGGGTATTATTAATTTCAGTTTAAGTACGATTAGGACACAATGCAAACAGGTTGGAAGACCTGTAAAGAATATTTATATAATTGAAGAAAACAAACCACTCTTAATAAATCATCCTCTCCATAGAAACTTTAATGTGTTCTTTTTCAGAATAAACAAATATTGAATTTTATAAATAAAAACTATTTAATCATTTTTGTTGAGAATTTTATCTTAAATGCAACTATGTAATAAATGGAATTGGTGTGAAATGGAAAAATACAGTCATAAATAAGTAAATAAAATATATGCGTGTAAAGACGTGCTGCTTAACTATATTCACAAACAACACATGTACAGACTCTCGAGCTTGATGATCACCAGTGTCCCACACCAGCCACATCACATCACCTAGCAGAAGCACTGTGTTCTATGCCAAACCTGACTGACCTGGAACTCAAGGGAGGGGATCTCAATGAGGAGTTCTTCTCTACATTGAAAGCAAAGGCACCATTCATTCAGGTATATGTGTCCAAATGCCAATGTCATGGAGGGGGTCATTGATAGACAGAAAGAGCAGTAATGGTTATATGGTGCACATGTATATCAGTTTTTTTCTCCAAACACCCTGTTTTAAAGGTCATTCACTTGGTATCTTGGAATAGTCATGAAATATGACAGCAAAGTACACGTACTGATTCAGTTGAAATTCAAGTGTGTATAAGATTGATTTTGTTTTGACCAATAATCAATAACCAACATTTACCGAGTTTGATTGATATGAAAAATATTTCATATAATTTTGTAAGAGCAAATTTTAATGAAGGTTTTAATTTACCAAACTGAATCATAGCAACAAACCTCCTGACTTAGGGGTCTTCTGCACATGAAATCGAGAGTTATGAATACCTTTAATACATTAATAGCAAGTGCATCTTTCTGGGTATTATTAATTCCAGTGTTAGTAGGAATATGACTTATGAATGCAAACAGATTGTAATTTCTCTAAAGAATACATATATAATTTAAAACAATCACTCTTAGTATTTAGGGCGTCTTGTGCACATAAAATCGAGAGTTATAAAAACCTTTAATGCATTAACAGCAAATGAATATTTCTGGGAATTGTTAATTTCAGTGTAAGTAGGAATATGACTTATATATGCAAACAGATTGCAATCCCTCTAAGGAGTACATATATAATTTAAAACAATCGTTCTTTATTATCCTGTTGATAGACACTTTAATGTGTTCTTTTTTCTTAATAGACAAGAATTGAATTTGAAAATGAAAACTATTTCATCATTTGTTTAGAATGTTATCTTTAATGCAAGTATGTAACTATTGGAATTTGTGTAAAATGTAAGAAGACAGTGTGAAATTAGTAAATAAGATATATCTATGCAATACGTACTGGTTAACTATATTCACCATGAATGCAGGTCCAGACTCTCGACCTGACTAATCACGAGTGTCCCACACCAGCCTCATCACAACACCTATCAGAGGCACTGTGTTCTATGCCACACTTGACTGACTTGAGACTCTATGAAGGGGATTTACGTGAGGAGTTCTACTCTACATTGAAAGCAAAGGCATCATCCATAAAGGTATGTGTGTACTAATGTATCTGCATATAGTGACGGTCATTGGTAGACAGAAAGATCAGAAATGGTTATATTGCATGGTTCACATGTATATAAATTGCATTTTCCAAACACTCTTTTTAAAGGCCATTTACTTGGTATATTGGAATAGCCATGAATAATGAAATGAAAGCAAACTACACATGTACTGATTACATTGAAATTTAAGTGTGTATAAGTTTGACATTTTTTCGACCACTAAACATTATCCAACCTTTTCCTACTTTGATTGATATGAAAAATATTTCATAGATTGTTTTGAGGAGCCAATTTTAATGTAGGCATGAACTTACCAAACTGTACCATAGGAACAAATCTCCTGATTTAGGGGTGTTGTTCACATTAAATCAAGAGTTATGAGAACCTTCAAGGCATTAATAGCAAATGCATATTTCTGGGTATTTTTAATTTCAGTATAAGTACGAATATGACTTATATATGCAAACAGATTGCAATCCCTATTAAGAGTACATATATAATTTAAAACAATCGTTCTTTATTATCCTGTTGATAGACACTTTAATGTGTTCTTTTTTCTTAATAGACAAGAATTGAATTTGAAAATGAAAACTATTTAATCATTTGTTTAGAATGTTATCTTGAATGCAAGTATGTAACTATTGGAATTTGTGTAAAATGTAAGAAGACAGTGAGAAATTAGTAAATAAGATATATCTATTCAGGCGTACTGGTTAATTATATTCACCATGAATGCAGGTCCAGACTCTCGACCTGACTAAACACCAGTGTCCCACACCCGCCTCGTCACATCACCTATCAAAGGCACTGTGTTCTATGCCACACTTGACTGACTTGACACTCGATGGAGGGGATTTACGTGAGGAGTTCTACTCTACATGGAAAGAAAACGCACCATCCATGAAGGTATGTGTGTACTAATGTAACTGCATATGGTGTCGGTCATTGGTAGACAGAAAGATCAGTAATGGTTATATGCCATGGTGCACATGTATATACGTTGCATTTTCCAAACACTCTTTATAAAGGCCATTTACTTGGTATATTGAAATAGCCATGAATAATGAAATTAAAGCAAACTTCGCATGTACTGATTACATTGAAACTTAAGTGTGTATAAGTTTGACATTTTTTCGACCACTAAACAATATCCAACCTTTTCCTACTTTGATTGAAATGAAAAATATTTCATAGATTTTTTTGAGGAGCCAATTTTAATGTAGGCTTGAACTTACCAAACTGTACCATAGGAACAAATCTCCTGATTTAGGGGGTGTTGTTCACATGAAATCAAGAATTATTAGAACCTTCAAGGGATTAATAGCAAATGCATATTTCTGGGTATTATTAATTTCAGTGTAAGTAGGAATATGACTTATAAATGCAAACAGATTGTAATCCCTCTAAAGAATACATATATAATTTAAAACAATCACACTTAGTATTTATTATTAATTGCAGTGTAAGTAGGAATATGACTTATGAATGCAAACAGATTGCAATCCCTCTAAAGAGTACATATAGAATTTAAAACAATCGTTCTTTATTATCCTGTCGATAGACAATTTAATGTGTTCTTTTTTCTTAATAGACAAGAATTGAATTTGAAAATGAAAACTATTTCATCATTTGTTTAGAATGTTATCTTGAAAGCAAGTATGTAACTATTGGAATTTGTGTAAAATGTAAGAAGACAGTGTGAAATTAGTAAATAAGGTATATCTATTCAAGACGTACTTGTTAACTATATTCACCATGAATGCAGGTCCAGACTCTCGATCTGACTAATCACCAGTGTCACACACCAGCCTCATCACATCACCTATCAGAGGCACTGTGTTCTATGCCACACTTGACTGACTTGAGACTCTATAAAGGGGATTTACGTGAGGAGTTCTACTCTACATTGAAAGCAAACGCACCATCCATGAAGGTATGTGTGTACTAATGTAACTGCATATGGTGTCGGTCATTGGTAGACAGAAAGATCAGTAATGGTTATATGCCATGGTGCACATGTATATACGTTGCATTTTCCAAACACTCTTTATAAAGGCCATTTACTTGGTATATTGAAATAGCCATGAATAATGAAATTAAAGCAAACTTCGCATGTACTGATTACATTGAAACTTAAGTGTGTATAAGTTTGACATTTTTTCGACCACTAAACAATATCCAACCTTTTCCTACTTTGATTGAAATGAAAAATATTTCATAGATTTTTTTGAGGAGCCAATTTTAATGTAGGCTTGAACTTACCAAACTGTACCATAGAAACAAATCTCCTGATTTAGGGGGTGTTGTTCACATGAAATCAAGAATTATGAGAACCTTCAAGGGATTAATAGCAAATGCATATTTCTGGGTATTATTAATTTCAGTGTAAGCAGGAATATGACTTATAAATGCAAACAGATTGTAATCCCTCTAAAGAATACATATATAATTTAAAACAATCACACTTAGTATTTATTATTAATTGCAGTGTAAGTAGGAATATGACTTATGAATGCAAACAGATTGCAATCCCTCTAAAGAGTACATATAGAATTTAAAACAATCGTTCTTTATTATCCTGTCGATAGACAATTTAATGTGTTCTTTTTTCTTAATAGACAAGAATTGAATTTGAAAATGAAAACTATTTCATCATTTGTTTAGAATGTTATCTTGAATGCAAGTATGTAACTATTGGAATTTGTGTAAAATGTAAGAAGACAGTGTGAAATTAGTAAATAAGGTATATCTATTCAAGACGTACTGGTTAACGATATTCACCATGAATGCAGGTCCAGACTCTCAAGCTGACTAATCACCAGTGTCCCACACCAACCTCGTCACAACACCTATCAGAGGCACTGTGTTCTATGCCACACTTGACTGACTTGACACTCGATGGAGGGGATTTACGTGAGGAGTTCTACTCTACATTGAAAGCAAAGGCATCATCCATAAAGGTATGTGTGTACTAATGTATCTGCATATAGTGACGGTCATTGGTAGACAGAAAGATCAGTAATGGTTATATTGCATGGTGCACATGTATATAAGTTGCATTTTCCAAACACTCTTTTTAAAGGCCATTTACTTGGTATATTGGAATAGCCATGAATAATGAAATAAAAGCAAACTACACATGTACTGATTACATTGAAATTTAAGTGTGTATAAGTTTGACATTTTTTCGACCACTAAACTTTATCCAACCTTTTCCTACTTTGATTGATATGAAAAATATTTCATAGATTGTTTTGAGGAGCCAATTTTAATGTAGGCTTGAACTTACCAAACTGTACCATAGGAACAAATCTCCTGATTTAGGGGGTGTTGTTCACATTAAATCAAGAGTTATGAGAACCTTCAAGGCATTAATAGCAAATGCATATTTCTGGGTATTTTTAATTTCAGTATAAGTACGAATATGACTTATATATGCAAACAGCTTGCAATTCCTATTAAGAGTACATATATAATTTAAAACAATCGTTCTTTATTATCCTGTTGATAGACACTTTAATGTGTTCTTTTTTCTTAATAGACAAGAATTGAATTTGAAAATGAAAACTATTTAATCATTTGTTTAGAATGTTATCTTGAATGCAAGTATGTAACTATTGGAATTTGTGTAAAATGTAAGAAGACAGTGAGAAATTAGTAAATAAGATATATCTATTCAGGCGTACTGGTTAATTATATTCACCATGAATGCAGGTCCAGACTCTCGACCTGACTAAACACCAGTGTCCCACACCCGCCTCGTCACATCACCTATCAAAGGCACTGTGTTCTATGCCACACTTGACTGACTTGACACTCGATGGAGGGGATTTACGTGAGGAGTTCTACTCTACATGGAAAGCAAACGCACCATCCATGAAGGTATGTGTGTACTAATGTAACTGCATATGGTGTCGGTCATTGGTAGACAGAAAGATCAGTAATGGTTATATGCCATGGTGCACATGTATATACGTTGCATTTTCCAAACACTCTTTATAAAGGCCATTTACTTGGTATATTGAAATAGCCATGAATAATGAAATTAAAGCAAACTTCGCATGTACTGATTACATTGAAACTTAAGTGTGTATAAGTTTGACATTTTTTCGACCACTAAACAATATCCAACCTTTTCCTACTTTGATTGATATGAAAAATATTTCATAGATTGTTTTGAAGAGCCAATTTAAATGTAGGCTTGAACTTACCAAACTGTACCATAGGAACAAATCTCCTGATTTAGGGGTTGTTGTTCACATTAAATCAAGAGTTATGAGAACCTTCAAGGCATTAATAGCAAATGCATATTTCTGGGTATTATTAATTTCAGTGTAAGTAGGAATATGACTTATGAATGCAAACAGATTGCAATCCCTCTAAAGAGTACATATAGAATTTAAAACAATCGTTCTTTATTATCCTGTCGATAGACAATTTAATGTGTTCTTTTTTCTTAATAGACAAGAATTGAATTTGTAAATGAAAACTATTTCATCATTTGTTTAGAATGTTATCTTGAATGCAAGTATGTAACTATTGGAATTTGTGTAAAATGTAAGAAGACAGTGTGAAATAAGTAAATAAGATATATCTATTCAAGACGTACTTGTTAACTATATTCACCATGAATGCAGGTCCAGACTCTCAATCTGACTAATCACGAGTGTCACACACCAGCCTCATCACATCACCTATCAGAGGCACTGTGTTCTATGCCACACTTGACTGACTTGACACTCGATGGAGGAGATTTACGTGAGGAGTTCTACTCTACATTGAAAGCAAAGGCACCATCCATAAAGGTATGTGTGTACTAATGTATCTGCATATAGTGACGGTCATTGGTAGACAGAAAGATCAGTAATGGTTAAATGCCATGGTGCACATGTATATAAGTTGCATTTTCCAAACACTCTTTTTAAAGGCCATTTACTTGGTATATTGAAATAGCCATGAATAATGAAATTAAAGCAAACTTCGCATGTACTGATTACGTTGAAACTTAAGTGTGTATAAGTTTGACATTTTTTGACCACTAAACAATATCCAACCTTTTCCTAGTTTGATTGATATGAAAAATATTTCATAAATTGTTTTGAAGAGCCAATTTAAATGTAGGCTTGAACTTACCAAACTGTACCATAGGAACAAATCTCCTGATTTAGGGGTTGTTGTTCACATTAAATCAAGAGTTATGAGAACCTTCAAGGCATTAATAGCAAATGCATATTTCTGGGTATTATTAATTTCAGTGTAAGTAGGAATATGACTTATGAATGCAAACAGATTGTAATTCCTCTAAAGAATACATATATAATTTAAAACAATCACTCTTAGTGATTAGGGCGTCTTGTGCACATAAAATCGAGAGTTATAAAAACCTTTAATGCATTAACAGCAAATGCATATTTCTGGGTATTGTTAATTTCAGTGTAAGTAGGAATATGACCTATAAATGCAAACAGATTGCAATCCCTCTAAAGAGTACATATTTAATTTAAAACAATCGTTCTTTATTATCATGTCGATAGACACATTAATGTGTTCTTTTTTCTGAATAGACAAGAATTGAATTTGAAAATAAAAACTATTTCATCATTTGTTTAGAATGTTATCTTGAATGCAAGTATGTAATTAATGGAATTTGTGTAAAATGTAAGAATACAGTGTGAAATGAGTAAATAAGATATATCTATGCAAGACGTACTGGTTAACTATATTCACCATGAATGCAGGTCCAGACTCTCGACCTGACTAATCACCAGTGTCCCACACCAACCTCGTCACAACACCTATCAGAGGCACTGTGTTCTATGCCACACTTGACTGACTTGACACTCGATGGAGGAGATTTACGTGAGGAGTTCTACTCTACATTGAAAGCAAAGGCATCATCCATGAAGGTATGTGTGTACTAATGTATCTGCATATAGTGACGGTCATTGGTAGACAGAAAGATCAGTAATGGTTATATTGCATGGTGCACATATATACTTTGCATTTTCCAAACACTCTTTTTAAAGGCCATTTACTTGGTATATTGGAATAGCCATGAATAATGAAATGAAAGCAAACTACACATGTACTGATTACATTGAAATTTAAGTGTGTATAAGTTTGACATTTTTTCGACCACTAAACATTATCCAACCTTTTCCTACTTTGATTGATATGAAAAATATTTCATAGATTGTTTTGAGGAGCCAATTTTAATGTAGGCTTGAACTTACCAAACTGTACCATAGGAACAAATCTCCTGATTTAGGGGGTGTTGTTCACATTAAATCAAGAGTTATGAGAACCTTCAAGGCATTAATAGCAAATGCATATTTCTGGGTATTATTAATTTCAGTGTAAGTAGGAATATGACTTATGAATGCAAACAGATTGCAATCCCTCTAAAGAGTACATATAGAATTTAAAACAATCGTTCTTTATTATCCTGTCGATAGACAATTTAATGTGTTCTTTTTTCTTAATAGACAAGAATTGAATTTGTAAATGAAAACTATTTCATCATTTGTTTAGAATGTTATCTTGAATGCAAGTATGTAACTATTGGAATTTGTGTAAAATGTAAGAAGACAGTGTGAAATAAGTAAATAAGATATATCTATTCAAGACGTACTTGTTAACTATATTCACCATGAATGCAGGTCCAGACTCTCAATCTGACTAATCACGAGTGTCCCACACCAGCCTCGTCACATCACCTATCAGAGGCACTGTGTTCTATGCCACACTTGACTGACTTGAGACTCGATGGAGGGGATTTACGTGAGGAGTTCTACTCTACATTGAAAGCAAAGGCACCATCCATAAAGGTATGTGTGTACTAATTTATCTGCATATAGTGACGGTCATTGGTAGACAGAAAGATCAGTAATGGTTAAATGCCATGGTGCACATGTATATAAGTTGCATTTTCCAAACACTCTTTTTAAAGGCCATTTACTTGGTATATTGAAATAGCCATGAATAATGATATTAAAGCAAACTTCGCATGTACTGATTACATTGAAACTTAAGTGTGTATAAGTTTGACATTTTTTCGACCACTAAACAATATCCAACCTTTTCCTAGTTTGATTGATATGAAAAATATTTCATAGATTGTTTTGAAGAGCCAATTTTAATGTAGGCTTGAACTTACCAAACTGTACCATAGGAACAAATCTCCTGATTTAGGGGTTGTTGTTCACATGAAATCAAGAGTTATGAGAACCTTCAAGGCATTAATAGCAAATGCATATTTCTGGGTATTATTAATTTCAGTGTTAGTAGGAATATGACTTATAAATGCAAACAGATTGTAATTCCTCTAAAGAATACATTTATAATTTAAAACAATCACTCTTAGTGATTAGGGCGTCTTGTGCACATAACATCGAGAGTTATAAAAACCTTTAATGCATTAACAGCAAATGCATATTTCTGGGTATTGTTAATTTCATGGTAAGTAGGAATATGACCTATAAATGCAAACAGATTGCAATCCCTCTAAAGAGTACATATTTAATTTAAAACAATCGTTCTTTATTATCATGTCGATAGACACATTAATGTGTTCTTTTTTTCTGAATAGACAAGAATTGAATTTGAAAATAAAAACTATTTCATCATTTGTTTAGAATGTTATCTTGAATGCAAGTATGTAATTAATGGAATTTGTGTAAAATGTAAGAATACAGTGTGAAATGAGTAAATAAGATGTATCTATTCAAGACGTACTTGTTGACTATATTCACCATGAATGCAGGTCCAGACTCTCAAGCTGACTAATCACGAGTGTCACACACCAGCCTCATCACATCACCTATCAGAAGCACTGTGTTCTATGCCACACTTGACTGACTTGAGACTCTATAAAGGGGATTTACGTGAGGAGTTCTACTCTACATTGAAAGCAAAGGCATCATCCATAAAGGTATGTGTGTACTAAAGTATCTGCATATAGTGACGGTCATTGGTAGACAGAAAGATCAGTAATGGTTATATTGCATGGTGCACATGTATATAAGTTGCATTTTCCAAACACTCTTTTTAAAGGCCATTTACTTGGTATATTGGAATAGCCATGAATAATGAAATGAAAGCAAACTACACATGTACTGATTACATTGAAATTTAAGTGTGTATAAGTTTGACATTTTTTCGACCACTAAACATTATCCAACCTTTTCCTACTTTGATTGAAATGAAAAATATTTCATAGATTGTTTTGAGGAGCCAATTTTAATGTAGGCTTGAACTTACCAAACTGTACCATAGGAACAAATCTCCTGATTTAGGGGGTGTTGTTCACATGAAATCAAGAATTATGAGAACCTTCAAGGGATTAATAGCAAATGCATATTTCTGGGTATTATTAATTTCAGTGTAAGTAGGAATATGACTTATGAATGCAAACCGATTGTAATCCCTCTAAAGAATACATATATAATTTAAAACAATCACACTTAGTATTTGTTATTAATTTCAGTGTAAGTAGGAATATGACTTATGAATGCAAACAGATTGCAATCCCTCTAAAGAGTACATATAGAATTTAAAACAATCGTTCTTTATTATCATGTCGATAGACAATTTAATGGGTTTTTTTTTCTGAATAGACAAGAATTGAATTTGAAAATGAAAACTATTTCATCATTTGTTTAGAATGTTATCTTGAATGCAAGTATGTAACTATTGGAATTTGTGTAAAATGTAAGAAGACAGTGTGAAATTAGTAAATAAGGTATATCTATTCAAGACGTACTGGTTAACTATATTCACCATGAATGCAGGTCCAGACTCTCAAGCTGACTAATCACCAGTGTCCCACACCAGCCTCGTCACAACACCTATCAGAGGCACTGTGTTCTATGCCACACTTGACTGACTTGACACTCGATGGAGGAGATTTACGTGAGGAGTTCTACTCTACATTGAAAGCAAAGGCATCATCCAAAAAGGTATGTGTGTACTAATGTATCTGCATATAGTGATGGTCATTGGTAGACAGAAAGATCAGTAATGGTTATATTTTATGGTGCACATATATACTTTGCATTTTCCAAACACTCTTTTTAAAGGCCATTTACTTGGTATATTGGAATAGCCATGAATAATGAAATGAAAGCAAACTACACATGTACTGATTACATTGAAATTTAAGTGTGTATAAGTTTGACATTTTTTCGACCACTAAACATTATCCAACCTTTTCCTACTTTGATTGATATGAAAAATATTTCATAGATTGTTTTGAGGAGCCAATTTTAATGTAGGCTTGAACTTACCAAACTGTACCATAGGAACAAATCTCCTGATTTAGGGGGTGTTGTTCACATTAAATCAAGAGTTATGAGAACCTTCAAGGCATTAATAGCAAATGCATATTTCTGGGTATTATTAATTTCAGTGTAAGTAGGAATATGACTTATGAATGCAAACAGATTGCAATCCCTCTAAAGAGTACATATAGAATTTAAAACAATCGTTCTTTATTATCCTGTCGCTAGACAATTTAATGTGTTCTTTTTCTGAATAGACAAGAAATGGATTTGAAAATGAAAACTATTTCATCATTTGTTTAGAATGTTATCTTGAATGCAAGTATGTAACTATTGGAATTTGTGTAAAATGTAAGAAGACAGTGTGAAATTAGTAAATAAGGTATATCTATTCAAGACGTACTGGTTAACTATATTCACCATGAATGCAGGTCCAGACTCTCAAGCTGACTAATCACCAGTGTCCCACACCAACCTCGTCACAACACCTATCAGAGGCACTGTGTTCTATGCCACACTTGACTGACTTGAGACTCTATAAAGGGGATTTACGTGAGGAGTTCTACTCTACTTTGAAAGCAAAGGCATCATCCATAAAGGTATGTGTGTACTAATGTATCTGCATATAGTGACGGTCATTGGTAGACAGAAAGATCAGTAATGGTTATATTGCATGGTGCACATGTATATAAGTTGCATTTTCCAAACACTCTTTTTAAAGGCCATTTACTTGGTATATTGGAATAGCCATGAATAATGAAATGAAAGCAAACTACACATGTACTGATTACATTGAAATTTAAGTGTGTATAAGTTTGACATTTTTTCGACCACTAAACATTATCCAACCTTTTCCTACTTTGATTGATATGAAAAATATTTCATAGATTGTTTTGAGGAGCCAATTTTAATGTAGGCTTGAACTTACCAAACTGTACCATAGGAACAAATCTCCTGATTTAGGGGGTGTTGTTCACATTAAATCAAGAGTTATAAGAACCTTCAAGGCATTAATAGCAAATGCATATTTCTGGGTATTATTAATTTCAGTGTAAGTAGGAATATGACTTATGAATGCAAACAGATTGCAATCCCTCTAAAGAGTACATATAGAATTTAAAACAATCGTTCTTTATTATCCTGTCGATAGACAATTTAATGTGTTCTTTTTCTGAATAGACAAGAAATGGATTTGAAAAAAAAAACTATTTCATCATTTGTTTAGAATGTTATCTTGAATGCAAGTATGTAACTATTGGAATTTGTGTAAAATGTAAGAAGACAGTGTGAAATTAGTAAATAAGATATATCTGTTCAAGACGTACTTGTTAACTATATTCACCATGAATGCAGGTCCAGACTCTCGATCTGACTAATCACCAGTGTCCCACACCAGCCTCATCACATCACCTATCAGAGGCACTGTGTTCTATGCCACACTTGACTGACTTGAGACTCTATAAAGGGGATTTACGTGAGGAGTTCTACTCTACATTGAAAGCAAAGGCATCATCCATAAAGGTATGCCTGTACTAATGTATCTGCATATAGTGATGGTCATTGGTAGACAGAAAGATCAGTAATGGTTATAGTGCATGGTGCACATGTATATACTTTGCATTTTCCAAACACTCTTTTTAAAGGCCATTTACTTGGTATATTGGAATAGCCATGAATAATGAAATGAAAGCAAACTACACATGTACTGATTACATTGAAATTTAAGTGTGTATAAGTTTGACATTTTTTCGACCACTAAACATTATCCAACCTTTTCCTACTTTGATTGATATGAAAAATATTTCATAGATTGTTTTGAGGAGCCAATTTTAATGTAGGCTTGAACTTACCAAACTGTACCATAGGAACAAATCTCCTGATTTAGGGGGTGTTGTTCACATTAAATCAATAGTTATGAGAACCTTCAAGGCATTAATAGCAAATGCATATTTCTCGGTATTATTAATTTCAGTGTAAGTAGGAATATGACTTATGAATGCAAACAGATTGCAATCCCTCTAAAGAGTACATATAGAATTTAAAACAATCGTTCTTTATTATCCTGTCGATAGACAATTTAATGTGTTTTTTTTTCTTAATAGAAAAGAATTGAATTTGAAAATGAAAACTATTTCATCATTTGTTTAGAATGTTATCTTGAATGCAAGTATGTAACTATTGGAATTTGTGTAAAATGTAAGAAGACAGTGTGAAATTAGTAAATAAGATATATCTATTCAAGACGTACTTGTTAACTATATTCACCATGAATGCAGGTCCAGACTCTCAAGCTGATTGATCACGAGTGTCCCACACCAGCCTCATCACATTACCTATCAGAGGCACTGTGTTCTATGCCACACTTGACTGACTTGAGACTCTATGAAGGGGATTTACGTGAGGAGTTCTACTCTACATTGAAAGCAAAGGCATCATCCATAAAGGTATGTGTGTACTAATGTATCTGCATATAGTGACGGTCATTGGTAGAAAGAAAGATCAGTAATGGTTATATTGCATGGTGCACATGTATATACTTTGCATTTTCCAAACACTCTTTATAAAGGCCATTTACTTGGTATATTGAAATAGCCATGAATAATGAAATTAAAGCAAACTACGCATGTACTGATTACATTGAAATTTAAGTGTGTATAAGTTTGACATTTTTTCGACCACTAAACAATATCTAACCTTTTCCTATTTTGATTGATATGAAAAATATTTCATAGATTGTTTTGAGGAGCCAATTTTAATGTAGGCTTGAACTTACCAAACTGTACCATAGGAAAAAATCTCCTGATTTAGGGTGTGGTGTTCACATGAAATCAAGAGTTATGAGAACCTTCAAGGCATTAATAGCAAATGCATATTTCTGGGTATTATTAATTTCAGTGTAAGTAGGAATATGACTTATAAATGCAAACAGATTGCAATCCCTCTAAAGAGTACATATAGAATTTAAAACAATCGTTCTTTATTATCCTGTCGCTAGACAATTTAATGTGTTCTTTTTCTGAATAGACAAGAAATGGATTTGAAAATGAAAACTATTTCATCATTTGTTTAGAATGTTATCTTGAATGCAAGTATGTAACTATTGGAATTTGTGTAAAATGTAAGAAAACAGTGTGAAATTAGTAAATAAGGTATATCTATTCAAGACGTACTGGTTAACTATATTCACCATGAATGCAGGTCCAGACTCTCAAGCTGACTAATCACCAGTGTCCCACACCAACCTCGTCACAACACCTATCAGAGGCACTGTGTTCTATGCCACACTTGACTGACTTGAGACTCTATAAAGGGGATTTACGTGAGGAGTTCTACTCTACTTTGAAAGCAAAGGCATCATCCATAAAGGTATGTGTGTACTAATCTATCTGCATATAGTGACGGTCATTGGTAGACAGAAAGATCAGTAATGGTTAAATGCTATGGTGCACATGTATATAAGTTGCATTTTCCAAACACTCTTTTTAAAGGCCATTTACTTGGTATATTGGAATAGCCATGAATAATGAAATGAAAGCAAACTACACATGTACTGATTACATTGAAATTTAAGTGTGTATAAGTTTGACATTTTTTCGACCACTAAACATTATCCAACCTTTTCCTACTTTGATTGATATGAAAAATATTTCATAGATTGTTTTGAGGAGCCAATTTTAATGTAGGCTTGAACTTACCAAACTGTACCATAGGAACAAATCTCCTGATTTAGGGGGTGTTGTTCACATTAAATCAAGAGTTATAAGAACCTTCAAGGCATTAATAGCAAATGCATATTTCTGGGTATTATTAATTTCAGTGTAAGTAGGAATATGACTTATGAATGCAAACAGATTGCAATCCCTCTAAAGAGTACATATAGAATTTAAAACAATCGTTCTTTATTATCCTGTCGATAGACAATTTAATGTGTTCTTTTTCTGAATAGACAAGAAATGGATTTGAAAAAAAAAACTATTTCATCATTTGTTTAGAATGTTATCTTGAATGCAAGTATGTAACTATTGGAATTTGTGTAAAATGTAAGAAGACAGTGTGAAATTAGTAAATAAGATATATCTGTTCAAGACGTACTTGTTAACTATATTCACCATGAATGCAGGTCCAGACTCTCGATCTGACTAATCACCAGTGTCCCACACCAGCCTCATCACATCACCTATCAGAGGCACTGTGTTCTATGCCACACTTGACTGACTTGAGACTCTATAAAGGGGATTTACGTGAGGAGTTCTACTCTACATTGAAAGCAAAGGCATCATCCATAAAGGTATGCCTGTACTAATGTATCTGCATATAGTGATGGTCATTGGTAGACAGAAAGATCAGTAATGGTTATAGTGCATGGTGCACATGTATATAAGTTGCATTTTCCAAACACTCTTTTTAAAGGCCATTTACCTGGTATATTGGAATAGCCATGAATAATGAAATGAAAGCAAACTACACATGTACTGATTACATTGAAATTTAAGTGTGTATAAGTTTGACATTTTTTCGACCACTAAACAATATCCAACCTTTTCCTACTTTGATTGATATGTAAAATATTTCATAGATTGTTTTGAGGAGCCAATTTTAATGTAGGCTTGAACTTACCAAACTGTACCATAGGAACAAATCTCCTGATTTAGGGGGTGTTGTTCACATGAAATCGAGAGTTATGAGAACATTTAATGCATTAATAGCAAATGCATATTTCTGGATATTATTAATTTCAGTGTAAGTAGGAATATGACTTATAAATGCAAACAGATTGCAATCTCTCTAAAGAATATATATAGAATTTAAAACAATCACTCTTAGTATTTAGGGCGTCTTGTGCACATAAAATCGAGAGTTATAAAAACCTTTAATGCATCAACAGCAAATGCATATTTCTGGGTATTTTTAATTTCAGTGTAAGTAGGAATATGACTTATATATGCAAACAGATTGCAATCCCTCTAAAGAGTACATATAGAATTTAAAACAATCGTTCTTTATTATCCTGTCGATAGACAATTTAATGTGTTCTTTTTTCTTAATAGACAAGAATTGAATTTGAAAATGAAAACTATTTCATCATTTGTTTAGAATGTTATCTTGAATGCAAGTATGTAACTATTGGAATTTGTGTAAAATGTAAGAAGACAGTGAGAAATTAGTAAATAAGATATATCTATTCAGGCGTACTGGTTAATTATATTCACCATGAATGCAGGTCCAGACTCTCGACCTGACTAAACACCAGTGTCCCACACCCGCCTCGTCACATCACCTATCAGAGGCACTGTGTTCTATGCCACACTTGACTGACTTGACACTCGATGGAGGGGATTTACGTGAGGAGTTCTACTCTACATGGAAAGCAAACGCATCATCCATGAAGGTATTTGTGTACTAATGTAACTGCATATGGTGTCGGTCATTGGTAGACAGAAAGATCAGTAATGGTTATATGCCATGGTGCACCTGTATATAAGTTGCATTTTCCAAACACTCTTTATAAAGGCCATTTACTTGGTATATTGGAATAGCCATGAATAATGAAATGAAAGCATACTACACATGTACTGATTACATTGAAATTTAAGTGTGTATAAGTTTGACATTTTTTCGACCACTAAACAATATCCAACCTTTTCCTAGTTTGATTGATATGAAAAATATTTCATAGATTGTTTTGAGGAGCCAATTTTAATGTAGGCTTGAACTAACCATACTGTACCATAGGAACAAATCTCCTGATTTAGGGGGTGTTGTTCACATGAAATCAAGAGTTATGATAACCTTCAAGGCATTAATAGCAAATGCATATTTCTGGGTATTATTAATTTCAGTGTAAGTAGGAATATGACTTATAAATGCAAACAGATTGCAATCCTTCTAAAGAATATATATATAATTTAAAACAATCGTTCTTTATTATAATGTCGATAGACACTTTAATGTGTTCTTTTTTCTGAATGGACAAGAATTGGATTTCAAAATAAAAAACTATTTCATCATTTGTTTAGAATGTTATCTTGAATGCAAGTATGTAACTATTGGAATTTGTGTAAAATGTAAGAAGACAGTGAGAAATTAGTAAATAAGATATATCTATTCAGGCGTACTGGTTAATTATATTCACCATGAATGCAGGTCCAGACTCTCGACCTGACTAAACACCAGTGTCCCACACCCGCCTCGTCACATCACCTATCAGAGGCACTGTGTTCTATGCCACACTTGACTGACTTGAGACTCTATGAAGGGGATTTACGTGAGGAGTTCTACTCTACATTGAAAGCAAAGGCATCATCCATAAAGGTATGTGTGTACTAATGTATCTGCATATAGTGACGGTCATTGGTAGACAGAAAGATCAGTAATGGTTATATTGCATGGTGCACATGTATATAAGTTGCATTTTCCAAACACTCTTTTTAAAGGCCATTTACTTGGTATATTGGAATAGCCATGAATAATGAAATGAAAGCAAACTACACATGTACTGATTAGATTGAAATTTAAGTGTGTATAAGTTTGACATTTTTTCGACCACTAAACATTATCCAACCTTTTCCTACTTTGATTGATATGAAAAATATTTTATAGATTGTTTTGAGGAACCAATTTTAACGTAGGCTTGAACTTACCAAACTGTACCATAGCAACAAACCTCCTGATTTAGGGCGTCTTGTGCACATGAAATCGACAGTTATGAGTACCTTTAATGCATTAATAGCACATGCATATTTCTGGGTATCATTAATTTCAGTATAAGTAGGAATTTGACTTGTAAATGCAAACAGGTTGCAACGCCTCTAAAGAATACATATAGAATTTAAAAACATCACTTTTAGTAAATTATCCTTTCGATTGACACTTTAATAAGTTCTTTTTTCTGAATAGACGAGAATTGATTTTGAAAATAAAAAACTATTTCATCATTTGTTTAGAATGTTATCTTGAATGCAAGTATGTAATTAATGGAACTTGTGTAAAATGTAAGAATACAGTGAGAAATTAGTAAATGAGATATATCTATTCAAGACGTACTGGTTAACTATATCCACCATGAATGCAGGTCGAGACCCTCAAGCTTGAGGATCACAAGTGTCCCACACCAGCCTCGTCACAAAACCTATCAGAGGCACTGTGTTCTATGCCACACTCGACTGTCTTGACACTCGATGGAGGGGATTTACGTGAGGAGTTCTACTCTACATGGAAAGCAAAGGCATCATCAATAAAGGTATTTGTGTACTAATGTAACTGCATGGAGACGGTCATTGGAAGACAGAAAGAGCAGTAATTGTTATTGTAATGGTGCACATGTACATAAGTTGCATGTTCCAAACACTCTTTTTAAAGGCCATTTACTTGGTATATTGGAATAGCCATGAATAATGAAATAAAAGCAAACTACACATGTACTGATTACGTTGCAATTTAAGTGTGTATAAGTTTGACATATTTTCGACCAAAAAACAATATCCAACCTTTTCCTAGTTTGATTGATATGAAAAATATTTCGTGGATTGATTTGAGGAGCCAAGTGGGCGCGGTGCAATTGCAGGTGCGGTTGCAGCAGACGGCAGTTGAGTAAAAGTAATATTAAATCATTGGTTTCAGACAAAGCTATATTGGTATACTAATTTGGAGCGTTTGGCACATATGATTGTATTATTTCTCGTTTAAGTGTTGCTTTCAAGGAATAGAGGGTTGAACAAGATTTGATGTTGGGAAAATTATTCCAAATATCCGGACCACAATGTCTAATAGATTTGTGCGTTATTAATAATTTTGGGTTAGTTAGATGGAAATTTCTAGATATGCGAGTGGGGTAGGAATGAACAGAAAAATTGAAACTAAACATGTTATCAAAGGATGGTGGAAATTGTTTATCAATATACTTGAACATAATAACTGCAACTTGAATAGTATTTAAATCAAAAAGATTTAGTGTTCTAAGTTTAGAGAATAAGGGGTCAGTGTGAGCCAAATAATGTGATCGTGTACAAATACGGATAGCTCTCTTTTGTAATTCAAAAATAGAATTGGATTTGGTCGAACCGCAATTATCCAATACGATGTTGCAATATGTGATGTATGGGAGCAGTAGCGTATTATATAATAAGAATAAGGTTGCATGGGGTAGAAGAAACTTTAACATGGAAAGTATCCCAATGCTTTTGGAAATGCTCATTGTAACGTCACTGGAGTAGATGCTCATTCCATGTCGAAGCTTCATCTATAATTACACCCAAACATGTGGACTTAGTTTTCCTCTCTATTGGCATATCGTCGATCTTAATATATACTGGTGGGTCCCTATTGTGAGAATAATGTTTGAAATACATAAAATGAGTCTTTTTTATATTAAGAGAAAGTTTATTGGACTTAAACCAGTTTAATAAGATATTTTTTAATGAGTTAAGGTCTTTGTGAAAACAAAAGATATTTGTGTCGTCAGCAGATAGAACAAAAGAAAGAAGGGAGGATGTATTGATAATGTCGTTGACATAGAGCAGAAACAAAAGAGGGCACAGAATGGAGCGTTGAGGGACACCACATTTGACTAATAGGGAATCAGAATTATACCCATTGAATGCAACATATTGTCTTCTGTTTGTTAAATAATCTTTAAACCATAAGAGTGATTGACCCCGAATCCCGTAATGACTGAGTTTGGAAAGTAGGATAGCGTACTTGAGCGTATCAAACGCTTTACTCAGGTCACAGAATATGCCAATAACATGTTCTTTGTTAGCCTTGGCGCTTGTAATTTTGTCATAAATTTGAATTAATGCTAGGTCAGTTGAGTAATTTTTCCTGAAACCATATTGATTTGAATTAAGTATATTGTGTTTGTTGATAAATTTGTATAGCCTAATATAAACATTTTTTTCTAAGACTTTTGATATACTTGGAAGTAAAGAAATGGGGCGATAATTGCAAATTTCATGGGGATCGTTTTTTTTAAAAATTGGATTGACTTTAGCTGTTTTGAATAAATCAGGGAATCCCTTATAAAAATGTCCTGTGGTAATACCACATGTATATGAATGAATACATGTGAAGGCAATTAAAGGTATACAATACAAAAATAAGTTTACATCCATAACAGTGTTAAAAGTGTTAATTAATAGCACTTGCAGCTATGGTCTATCTGTCAAGTGTCAAAAGATGTCAATTATCAAACATGAATAGTCTTCAGATGCATTTAAATGAATACTAAAAAAAAGCTATAGATACATGAATACACATCTATAAAGTGTTACACAATACTGGCATCAACTATACCAGCAATGAGCTGTCATGACAAAAAGTGTAGAGAAATAAAGTTATGAAGATATATTCACACACAGATATAGGATATATGTAAATATTTTATTACGCTGTAAGTTAATTCAATTTATGTTCGTCGAGATTGCCTTGGTACAAAGATGTGTATTGAAGATTTATTTCTCAGATTCATTCCGACCGAACGTAAGGTGATTATGACAGGGCGTGGCGACCTGGAAGTACTTGTTGAATGCTTGTTGATCGGCATAATTTACATCATTTTGAAATGCTTTCCATTTAATATAGAAATCCCATACCGATGAACATTTACCCAGTATGGGTCTCACACTCTCACTCATGTCTTGCATTTCCTTGATGTATTTTGGACAGTTCAGTCTTACAAATTAAGACTGCATGTCTGCATGTACACCAGAAGACAAGCATGCCAGTGCCACACAGTCCACGTTGATGACTTTCCAGCAGCCGAAGATACCCTGAAAAATTAAAAAAACAAATACAAAAATAAGCACGTTGTAGTATTCTATTATGCTCTCAAAATAAATCCAGCGAAAATTAAGAGTTGAACATGGCATATAACTGTACAAATGAAATTCATCTAAAAACTACAATTACTTGTATCCCTCACAAATTCATGACGTGATCGAGATGCCCGCAAAAAAAAGGATCGTCCGCATTTTCGCTGAAGATTCTGATTTCCGATCCGCACGTTGGCGATGCGAAAAACGGGTTCCGCAATAATTTTACATTTACTTTGTAGTCTACAGAGACTTTTAAGTTTTGAGCGATAAATCCAAGGGAAGACGGACAACCCATGGAAGTAGACGGATCAGGAACCCAAAACCCGCAGAAGAAAAAAAAAAACTTTCTCAAAATTTTCGCGGACGATCCTCACACAATCATGCCGATCGGCTATATGACAGTAGACTTACAGTTTGAATTTTTAAATTATTCTTTTTAACATCGGTAAGTTGACAAAATTGTATTTTACTGCTATTTAGGTGTCATCAATTGTCACTAAAGTACCGATTTTGAGTGATATCAGTTGAGTTTTGTACAGTAGTGTTTGAAATGTTGAGAATCAATAACACAGCTTGGAAGTACACAACCAGGATAGTAATGCAGCTATGTGTGGATTAGACTACTGACAGTACGTCTGTACTAGTAATCCCATTCTCTTAATTACTAATTAAGATTCATGTTTATTATTTCACTTCCAATGATAAGCCTTTTGTACACAGAATATAGATGATTATAATTATGTAGACCTACTGTCTAGATGCAGTACACCTTCATCAAATGCGATCGGTTTTCATTTTTTCATGAACCAAATTTATAAGAGTAAGATTTACTAACCAAATTTCCTATTTTGTACAGAAAGCAAACACCATTCTGTCTTGAATTATGTGTAATTGTATTACTCACCTCCTGGTCAAAATGATGATCTTTAAAGTAGCTCCAGCAGCTAGCTGTCCAGAGCAGCAAAGTTAATCATTTTCTGCAGACCGACTATTTGTATTTCCCCACACAAGAGTGGTTGTGTGGGACTACAGTCTGAGCCATATGTATCAAACTTGGCCTGGTATGGTAAACTCTGCGATCCTGCCCCATTTTTTTAAATTCTTGCTTTGGAATACACTTAAAATTCGTTTTTCCTGGTGTAAATCTAACCTTTCCCTCCATACTCTGGGTTTTAAAGGAAGACAAATCTGGTGAAATTGCAAAGTAATGGTGGAAATGCGCCGTTGGGAATAGGAAATTGAAAATAAAGATCTCGCTCTCTATTTTGTGTGGTAACATCAGGTACCACAGGAAATACAAAGTTACCACAGCCAGCCTTTGACATTATACTACAGGAGTCTAGTGACATTACCACACGAGTCTTATGGTACATAATATTCCTGTGGTATTTTGTGTGGTAAAATCAGGTACCACAGAAAATATCAACTTACCACAGCCAGCCGTTGACATTATACCACAGGAGTCTAGTGACATTACCACCGAGTCGTGTGGTACATAATATTCCTGTGGTATTTTGTGTGGTAAAATCAGGTACCACAGGAAATATCAACTTACCACAGCCAGCCGTTGACATTGCCACAGGAGTCTAGTAACATTACCACACGAGTTGCTGTGGTACATAATATTCCTGTTGTATTTCGTGTGGTAACATCAGGTACCACAGGAAATACAAAGTTACAACAGCCAGCCTTTGACATTATACCACAGGAGTCGAGTTAATATTTCAAGAGTTCCTGTGGTATTTCGTGTGGTAACATCAGGTACCATAGGAAATACAAAGTTACCACAGCCAGCCTTTGACATTACCACGCGAGTCTAGTGACATTACCACACAAGTTGCTGTGGTACATAATATTCCTGTGGTATTTTGTGTGGTAAAATCAGGTACTACACGAAATACAAAGTTACCATAGCCAGCCATTGACATTACCACACGAGTCTAGTGACATTACCACACGAGTTGCTGTGGTACATAACACTCCTGTAGTATTTTGTGTGGTAAGATCAGGTACCACAGAAAATACAAAGTTACCACAGCCAGCCGTTGACATTACCACAGGAGTCTAGTGACATTACCACACGAGTTGCTGTGGTACTAAATATTCATGTGGTATTTCGTGTGGTAACATCAGGTACCATAGGAAATACAAAGTTACCACAGCCAGCCTTTGACATTATACCACATGAGTCGAGTTAATATTTCAAGAGTTCCTGTGGTAATAAATATTTCTGTGATATTTTGTGTGGTAACATCAAGTACCACAGGAAATACAAAGTTACCACAGCCAGCCGTTGACATTACCACAGGAGTCTAGTGACATTACCACACGAGTTGCTGTGGTACTAAATATTCCTGTAGTATTTTGTGTGGTACCATCAAGTACCACAGGAAATACAAAGTTACCATAGCCAGCCGTTGACATTACCACAGGAGTCTAGTGA